CACTAGATCAAAATTAGTGATTTCGCCGGTTATCTGGTTTTGCGGTTAATGGATTTTGTTCGAATATCAAATATCTATTTTCGAATAATAGAAACCGACTTAAAAATTTTACGAAATTTTATAGAAAGTAACATCGTAATTATGACGATTATTGTTTGACAAATGTTAATTTATCAAAGATTAAAATATATTTCTTTTATTAATTTAAATGTTAATTTAATCAGTTTTGTTTGATAATATATTCTTAAAACAATTTACAATAGAAATCTCAAAGATTTATTTATTACTTTTACAACTCAAGCAATACATTTTTAAGAAAGTTTCTTCAGAATATTATGGAACTCTAATTCGCTTATTCAGCGTATTTTTTGAACCAATAGAATTTGTTTATTCGTAGATTTGGCGGTATTTTAGTGTTAGCAAATATTCTTTATATTATCTTTACACAACAAGTTGTTTTGGGAACATTCAAGTTTATCTTCAAGTTTCCATCTATGTCCGCATAACAATAAGTTTTTAAAACACACGCTAAAAAAATTTACTTCATAACATCTCATTTTTCCAAATGAAATGTTTTTATATGAGAGAATGATTTTAAAACATCCGCTGATATTAAAACATTTAAACTATACTTGTACATTATTCCTACCTTTTTTAATTATATAATTAAAAAGGTATATTATATTATAATATAAAAAATATATATATCTTTTTCCATGTTTTGTTATAAATATATAATATATGACTGTATTCACTGTCTTGAAAATGTACACTTTAACATTAATTTTAAAAAAATTAGTTTAAAACGCTGCGTTCGTTGAAATTTAGAAGATCCTGTATTCAGAGAGCGTCACTAATTTACCGAATAGTCAGTTAACCGCAAATTGATGAGAACTGTTATCCGGTTTTTGAAACGGATAACCGACAAAATCACTAATTAAAATGTGATGAAATCACTAAAACAACACTCGAAAAACATCTACTTGCATGTTTTGAAGCCTTAGGTGCAGAAAATAGAATAGTTTTAGTACTGAAAAATATAAGTTTAAAAGATGTTGTTTATTTCGAAGTTCAGGCAAGAAATGAAATTCCTGTATCAGTTGTACAAAATTCATTTAAACATCTCTTGAATTTCATCAAGTAATGAAATTCAATGAAACATTCCTTCCAATCACTTTTCGGAAGAAGTTGATGTTCCCTTGGCAAGATTGTATAATTTAATATTTAATGATTGTAATTTAGCAGATACTGAAATTATGGAGTGGGAAAGTGGAACAAGTGATGCAAATCATTTGGTTAACCTTGAAGGAAATCCTGAAGTAGAAACTGAACTACTCCTGTCGAAGAAAATGAAAAAACATTGGATGACTTCAATAAAAACATCAATGTTATAAATTCTTTTAATTTGGTGAAAGAATGGGCAAAAGAAAATGACTTACCCTGCAATGAAGTTCTTTTGTTACTAAAAATGTTAGTAAATCAAAGATTTGTTAATTTGATTGTTTTTTTTTTTAATAAAATTAATAACTACGTTTATATGATAATAATTATAAAATGTTTTCTTTTGAAAAATAAAATTGAACTTATTTATTCTACGGAGTTTAGTTAGTGAAAGAAATAAAAATATTTTCCAGATTTTTTTTTTTTTTTTAATTATCTTCGCTTCCAACAAGGTTGCAAGCAACCACTACTTAGTGTTGGAAGTTACTGGAAGAGAAAAGATGAAGATTGCAGAGCAAGATAACGATTGACAGACGACTTAAAATATTGCAAATTATATGAATCAGGAAAGCAAGATGAAGGAAGCGAATTCCAAAGAACTGATGTTCGAGGAAAAAAACTAGACGAATAAGAGTTTTTGGAGCACTTAGGAATAGTAACAGAAAAAGGATGAGACTTAATTACATGACGAGTAACACGAGAATGAATTTTAGTAGATGGCACAAGAGACGCTAGCTCTTTAGAGCAGTGCCCATTATAGTATTTGTAGAAAAGAGAAAGAGAAGCAACATTACGACGATGTGACAGAGGTTGAAGGTTGGCTGCAAGAGCAGGTCCAACTATGTTTACAATGCGTTTTTGCACCTTGTCTAAAAGAGAAAGGGCATCATTAGAAGATCCGCCCCAGATATGGCAACAGTATTCCATACAAGGCCGGATTTGAGATTTATAGAGATAGAGAATAGAATCCAGAGTAAGAAAGTGACGAGCTCGATAAAGAGAAGCAACTTTAGCAGATGCTAATTTTGCAATGGATTTGATATAAGGTTTCCAAGAAAGATCAGAAGTAAGAGTTAATTCTAGAAGATGAAGGGTAGGAGACTCATCGAGTACATTACCGTTCATAAATATAGGAAGGTCTAAACTATTGGGATAACGATTGGCTGAAAAAAATTGAGTTTTATCTGAATTAAAGTTCACCAGCCACTGCGAGCCCCATGCTCTAGCAGAAGTGAGATCCATTTCAAGCTCAGATACCCTCTGCAAGCAATCAGAAGGAGTTGGCTTCTTATCGTGACAAGAATAAATGGTAGTATCATCAGCGAACAATGCCACCTTAAATGTGAGAATATCTGGAAGATCGTTAATGTAAATTAAAAAGAGTATAGGGCCAAGGTTTGAACCTTGGGGAACCCCTGAGGTTACAGAATAAGAAGAAGAGTGCTGTCCATCAAGGACAACTTTTATACTACGATTGGAAAGGAAAGATTCAATAATCTTAAAAATGTTTCCAGATACACCATAAGAAGAAAGCTTATGGAGGAGACCAGCATGCCAAACTTTATCAAACGCTTTAGAAATGTCAAGAGCAATGGCCTTAACTTCTCCACCTTTATCTAATGCGCAATAAAACCTATCGGTTATTACTGATAGCAAATCAGCCGTAGAATGAGAAGATCGAAATCCATACTGATGATCAGAAAGTAGGTTATGAGATTCGAGATGAGAGATTAAGTGTTTGTTAATTAAAGATTCAAAAACCTTGCTTATGATAGGAAGAAGACTAATGGGACGGTAGTTAGATGAGTCAGATCGCTCTCCAGAATTTTTAAAAATAGGGATAACAGATGCTGCTTTCCAGCAGGCTGGAAAACAAGACTCTGATAAGCACTTGTTGAATAGTTTTGAAAAGACAGACGACAGCTCAGGAGAACACTTCTGCAAGACTATAACAGGTATGTTGTCCGGGCCGCAAGCTGTAGAAGAGTTTAAGCGGGAAATCACTTTAGATACAGAAGCTGGAGTGATACGAATGTCGAGCAATGGATCAACCTGTTTGACGGGTATATCAGGTAGAACGCAACTAGTGGCATCAAGAGATGATATTGATGAAAAATTCTTGGCAAACAATTCAGCTTTGTCTTTAGGTGAGGTGACAAAGTCTGAAACGTACAAAAGAGGTGGAATTACAGACTTGCCCTTATTATTGATACTATTAAAGATTCTCCAGAAGTCACGAGAGCCTAATTTTTGTGATGAAATACGAGATTTCATGATCTGAGAACAGCGAGTTTTGGCGCTAGACAAAACCTTTTTACAACGGTTCCTAGCAGTAATAAAGAGACGCCTGTTTTCTGGAGAATTGTTTTGCTGATAGATATGGAAGTAATGGTTTCGATTGGCAATTGCAGCAGCACAATGTGAGGAAAACCATGGAGAAGAATGAGGCTTGACCTGGAATCGTCGAGAGGGAATAAAGGATTCCATGCCAGCCTGAATCCACAAAGTTATGTAAGAAGCACATTTGTTAACAGGGAGACGAAAGATTTCTACCCAGGGGCCATCACGAAGAAAGTCACAAAAAGAGTCCCAGTCAGCTTTAAGGTAGTTGTAAGATGTACGATGATAGGGGGATTCTAATGGTAAAGAAGAATGAGATAATAATTTTAGAGAGATCAAACCATGATCAGACGCACCTAAGGGTGAGTGTGAAGAAACTGAACACTGACTAGGATCAGATTGTAAGTATCAGATTGTAATTATCAGAAGTATAGATCAGATTGTAAGTAATTTTATATTCCTTTTTCCCCTGTAAGCAATTTCTCTCAATAAACTTTTTCATTCAAATAGGTTCAAATGAGTTTATTATTTAGAGCGTTATCTGTATTAAGAAAGTTATTTTATAAATATTTAAGCTAAAATAGAGCTTTATAACAACTTCATAAACTGACAAGTCAGGTTCATTATATTTCTTCGTAAGATATACCACAAGGAAATGCAGAGGAAATAATATTACATTACGTTATATTATTTTTCAAATAAACTATATCCACTGCAATCTATTCAGCATGACTGACAGGATAGACCAAATTAAAAGTTTTGAAGTTTTTTCATTATTAATTGATTATTTTTAAAATGAGTTTTCCAAATGAACAAATTCAAAATACTGGATATTTAAACAAATGAAAAAAACTAATGTACAATTATCTGAAATGCATCATAATTAAAACTGATTTTTATAAGTAGCAAAAGAAAATACATTTAAATTTTTCACAAATTTCAGCTGCATTAGTAAGGACACACACAACAATTTTACATTTTCATGTGTAATAAACAGGTTGAACTCAGTTTAAGCCAATTTCATTTAAGAAAGCAAAGTAGTACAATAAACAGAACAAAAATTTTTTTATTATAGATTAACTGTTTTTAAAAAAAGAAATTGTTTTCTACTCTTTATTCTTTTAGGAAAAAAATATTGAATTTAAAATTTAAAACTAAACATTTTATTTATTTAATATAGATATTGTTTATTGAACTTTTTACCCAGATCCATAGCAATGGCCCACCCATTAAACAAAATTAAAAATAAAATTAATAAAAGTCAAAAAGTCATAATAGCTAGATATTAAACTAAAAAGTTAAAAACAAAGATAACTAATATTTATGAGTTACAAAATTTTTATAACACTATCAACTTTTTACAAAAAGTTAAAGATGATAGGAAAATTTTAAATATTAAATAATTTTGCTAACATTTAAAAAATAAAATTATAAATGACCTGATTGCATGCTTCACATGGACCATAATGGCATCTATTATAACATTGATGAGCTCCACAACTTAGTTGTTTTAAACATATATCTTTGCAAGGAGTCACGTCATCAAGACAAGGCAAAGAGAAAACTATGCATATGTAATACATAATATGTATATATATATATATATATATATATATATATATATATATATATATATATATAAATAAAAGCTGTTGCATCTCGAAACTAAACAATTAATATTAGCGAGTTTGATGAAATGAAATGTAGTGATTTATTGTTTTGAAAATTGTTAGCTTACTTTTTAATTTACCATCTCGTTATAGCGAGCAATAAAAATCTAATTTCATTACAAAACTAAACAAGATTTTAAAGAAATCTTTTAACTCTCTTGCTATATATATACTATTAATGAAAAAAAATTAAAATACAGAGAACAGCTATGAATAATAGTTTGGAAAGGGAAACCCTGAAACCTTTACCAGAAAAATCAAAGGGCTGAAGTAAGCGGCAAAATGTCAATTACCAAATACATTAAATACAATTAAATTTATCACAGCTTAAAGCCATTATGGTGATTATAGTGTTTTTGGCAACAAGCAATAGTACTTTCAACCAGTTGAAACAGATTGATTCTAGCAATTGATCCATTATTTCAATCAATATTGAACTTAAAACATTTATTTATTTAATACAGATGTTTAGTGAAGTTTTTACCCATAGCAATGGGTGAGGATGGGATTACTCTACAAAATTAACTATTTCATTTTCATTATAGTAGTAAACAAAATTTTTAATTTGTTTGCTGTTTACATCTCACAGATTTTTATGCTTACTATGCGCCTTCAAACCTTAATTTTGCAATACTCCCCTGCTTAAAAGTTTTTTATTATTGCTTAAAATACTTTTCAATTCAAATGTTTTGATTATAGTATCATAAATATTGTTTTTAAATTTCAAATGCTAACGATTAATATCATTAAACAGCGAAAATTATCAACATTTTAAATGTTTTAGGTGACTCCAAAGTAAGTTCAAAACAAAATTCTCAAGAAACTTCTCTATGCAAATCATAAACAGGCTGTTGATTAGTTGTTTCCAACATGTCTTGGGTTTTCTACTGACATCCTGAAACTATGATTCCTATATGAGCCACTTTATTATATTGACAAGGACCTCAAACCAAAGTAGTTAGTTGTTTATCATATGATGAAAGTCACAATTTGGAGCAGCAATTGTTTATAGATTGTCAGAGTAAGTTTAATTATATTATTACTTAATAATGTATTTAATTTAGTATTGCCTTTTTTAATTACTAAATTAAACTTGTAATTATTCTGAATAGTATTTATACTACTTAAAAATTTAAGCACTATTTAACTTTATTATTTGAAAATAATAGCAAATTTACTAAAAGATATAACATACCCCGCAAAATATAAAAATATTTGTTTTGTGTTAACAATTTTAATTTTTAGAAATATATAACATTTCTGGAAATAATATAGGAATACAAATTTTGCTTGTTCATGACAGCCAATGCAAAATCTGGCTCAAGGCAGACAGAATGAGTAAACAATCGTTTATTTTGCTTTGACCTATCGCTTCAGCTCATTCTAAAAAAAGAATTAGAGACTGTCCATGAAGTAAAAGCAACTGTGGATATATTGAAAAAATTTACTACAAAAGTTTACATTAACTGAGTCATAATTTTATATTTGAAATTGGAAAAAAGTAACAAAATGATTGTTGTTTGTCCTGCTTTTACAATCTTATGCTAAAAAATTTGTCATTTTTCCACTTTTTTGAAAAGCAAAAACATTTTTGAAAAACTTACTCAGTAAGCTCAATGTTTTAGCCATATTTTAAAGGTGAGTGTATTACAGTTCATAAATATTTAACAAATAATAACTATACTGACAAACTATAAATTTGTTTTAAATAATAGCATGCTTTGACAGGTTGATACAGAAAGGGAATTGGAAAATGTCAAGAAAGAAATTGTATACTTACATAAAAGCTCAAAAAAAAAAAAAAAAAAAAAAAAAAAAATGTAAAACAAATGGTGCATTAGAATGGTGGAAAAATAAAAACGTTGTTTCATTTACTGACAGAACAAAATTGATTGGTTGTGCATATTATCTCCTCTGCAACCTCTGAAAAAGTCTTCTAAGCAGGTGGACAAATCGTTACAACTAAACAAACAAAGATTCAACCTGACACTGTTGACAAGTTGATTTACATCAAGTAGAACTTCAATCAGGTATAAATTAATAATAAAAATAAAAAAACAAACAATCTTTACAAAAAATAAATTGTTAAAATAAAAACTTTTCAATAAGACCATAGAAGTTTTAAAAGTCTTAAAAAGACTTTTAAAACTTCTATGGTCAAAAAATCAAATTATTCATAATTTCCCAATAGGATAAATTTTATATCATGTTAAAAAACTTTTTTAACATGACTTTTTTTTCTTTCTTGTTAAAACAGGGTAAAATTACAAAATGGCATCTCAGATCCAACCTCCCTGAAAATAATCCAGAAAAAAAAAGTTGCAGCAGTTATTGATGATGATCGGGTGCAAGAACTTAAAATCATTGATATAACTCTGTCAACAACAACATGTCTTTGTTGGCATTAAAAGTCAAGTTATGTGGCTACATGTTCAGCAGGTCTTTTGAGACAGACTTTGCTCAAATAAATTACTTTAATTAAAAAGCCATTTATTGCCAGAAATTTGGAGTTATATAAAGTAAATATAAACTTTCAAATTAAACTAATAAACTGAAAAATTATTTCTTAACCACAAAGTAGTTAGCAATTACTATTCAATTCATGTTAATTATGATTGTGTAATTATTTGTTATTAATTATGATTGTCTAATTATTTGTCATTATTCATAACTTCTAGTAGTGCTCTTTTTAAAAATGCTACAATAAATAATTTGTTGTTTTTTTTTTCTTTTTTTTTAGAATTTCTCTCCATTTAACAAATTTTGCCTTGCCTGATTTTCCAACATTAAAAACTTCTCTTGTTTCCATTATTTTTCTCATTCTAATTAACTGAATTTTTGTTACTGTTTTAAATAACTCTTAGATACAACAGCTTAATATATATATATATATATATATATATATATATATATATATATATATATATATATATATATATATATATATATATATATATATATATATATATCATTATATTTAAATAAAAATACTTTCAAATAAAAACTCTAAACAGTAAATAACATGTTACATGTTTTTCCACAAGGGCATTTTCTGGAACCAGATCTAGGACAATCACCACATGGTGTTGAATGACACTCTTTTTCACACAAATGATGCCCACATGAAAGTACTTTATGACAAATCTAGTGTTTTAAAATTTTTAAAACCTTAAAAAAGTGTTAAAAATATTTACATTATTAGTAGAATTTAAAACATATTAACTATTATTATTGTTGTTATTATTATTGTTACTACAATCATTATTAGAAATATAACAATAACAAAACCAAGAAACTAAAAATAATTAGGTAAAAATGTATGAAGAAAATTATTTTTTTTAAAGCAACTAATTTTCTGAAAAAATGGTAGATTTACTATAAATAACTGCTTTAAAAATATAATTTTAGATGGAAAAAAATAGTAAGTATTTGATCCTTATTATTTTTAAATAATATCATTTTTAAATTGAAGAATGCTTTCACAAACTAGAGTTCAACTTTATTTAATTACTTTTAAAACAATATTTTAAATGTAAAATCTAGGAATTTTTATAATTACTGCAAAACTATTCCTAAAATTCTTAAAACTTAAATATACGAAAGCTAAAAAAGATGGAGGGATGGTGGTATGGAGGATGATGGAGGGATGGTGGTAGTTACAATTCTTTGAAGTTACTATTCTTTTTTTCTATTATTTTTTAAATCCAAAAGACCTAAAATAAGTGCTAGTTTAATAAAAATTAAAACTGTATTTAACAAAAATTAAAACTTTGTTTAATAAAAATTAAAACTATGTTAAGTAACTTTTGAGAATTTAAACTGCATTAAACTTCCCTTTTGTAAACATGTTTTTGCTTTTCAGTATACAAAAAAAAATAAAAAAAAATAATGAATCTTATAAATGCATAAAAATGTCTTAATACCTATAGAAATATACTTATAATAGTTTTTTTGTAAATCAAAGCAACAATAATTTATGTAATATCATAATTATATAAAAAAATCATAGATTTTGTAAATAAAAAAAAAATTACATTAAACATTTCCATAAAACAAAATATAAAAACACAACTAAGCAACTCCAATTTAAAAAGTATAACCTGCTTGCAACTCCAATTTTTTTCTGCACAGGGTCGTACATCTTGAACTTTTTTACAAAAACAAAAATAATTACCCATTTTTGGACAAGGTGAACAGTCTCCTAAAAAAATATGAAAAACATCAAAATTCAAAAATTACTTGTATTGATGATACCAATCAAAATATTAAAAAAAATATTATCAGAAATTGTTTCTGAAAAGATTATGCTAAAAAATTGTTTTGATTTATGTTTATATTAAGTTTATTTGGAGTCAAACTTTATTTAATAAAAATTTATTTAATAAAAATAAAAGTTTATATTTCTGGCAATATTAAAAAAATATTACATTTCATTTTCACATTTTTTCAATGTGCTCAATTTCATTTTCACACTGATTTAGTTTGATCTAATTTAAAAGATGTAAAATCCATTAAAAGTAAAAATACCTGAATGACAAAAATCTTCACAATAATGAATTGCACATGAATAAAGTTTGCCACAAAGTTTTCCACATGACCAACCCTTTTTACTACATCTTTGCAACTGAGGTTGTGATTTTTCACAATAACATGTTGACAACACAGTTTTTGGACATGGTGGACAGGGTCCTTTTAAAAGTGATTTAAAGCAATGTAAATTTTAAAAAAGTTTTTAAAAAAGAAAAATGTTTATTAATATACCTGGATGGCAAAGCAAAATGCATTCATGACCACAATTCGGAAAAAGGTTTTTTAAGCATGTCTGACCACAAGAATGAGGAACAATCCAAGGATCAAACGATGGATTTTTCTACAAAAAATAATATAACCATTAAGTAATAGCTGCAAGTGAAAAAGAAAAAATTTCAATTTTTAGAGGTTTTTTAGTTTTATTGTTTCATAAATTTATATTTGTACTTTAGAGTGGCATATATAAAATGGTTCTAAAAGAAAAAAACACAGAAAAAAAATGCATCTAAATGTTGGATTTAAACCATCTAAATGTTGGATTTTTTTATTATTTATTATTATTATAATAAAAAAAATAAATGACTTTGATATGTAAATAGTTATGTATTATATTATAAATTATTTGCTTTATTTATCTAAATGTCTATTGTCTAGACATTTAGATAAATATCTTCTTTTTTCAGTTCTTTCTTTTTTCTTTAGTTACATTATCTTCAGTTAAACATTTTTCAATGAGATTAACATTGATAAAATAATTATCCTCGTTTGTGTCATTAAAATAACTGTGTCATTAATAATAATATTAAATAATGCTGTAATTCTTAATCAATTACAGGAAATGTAAACCATGGTTATGGCAGAGCTTATTGCATCTAAATTTCTTCAACACTTAATCATTACCGCTGCACCATCATGGGTTGAAGCAGAAATGTCCTTTTGAATATCCAAAATAAACTCTGCCAATTATAGTATTAAATTATTTATTTCAGCATTACACTGACCTTAAATTTCAATCAATTTAATAATTAGCAGATTTTGATTTATATCACAAACAAATACCTATAGTACACCAAAGTACACCAAAACAAATACCTATAGTACACCAAAGTACACCAAAACAAATACCTATAGTACACCAAAGTACACCAAAACAAATACCTATAGTACACCAAAGTACACCAAAACAAATACCTATAGTACACCAAAGTACACCAAAACAAATACCTATAGTACACCAAAGTACACCAAAACAAATACCTATAGTACACCAAAGTACACCAAAACAAATACCTATAGTACACCAAAGTACACCAAAACAAATACCTATAGTACACCAAAGTACACCAAAACAAATACCTATAGTACATAGTACACCAAAGTAACAAAATTTTGACTATCATTTTGACTAGAAAAAAAACTCATTAATTTTGGATTATTTATCAACAAGGTAAAATAACTTGTATTATTTAAAATCAAACAAGACTGTGACTGCTTATTTTAGTAAAAAATTGTTACAATACACAATTTCAGGTGATCACTGTTTTTATTTACAAAGTTACTATCTGTCAAAAATCAAAAAAATCTACTGTAAACAGCAGATACTCAAATTTTGCAATTTGATCAATATTGATTCAATCATAACTTTTTAACGGATTCACCAAACTGAAACTTCAGAAGATTTTTGTGCTTTTTACATAAATTCTGTGGGTTGTCAAAATTTGAAGAAAAACCGTTGTGGTACATTGACACTTTTTAAAATCAAAGTGATTTTATATGGAATGACTTGTAAAGTAACTACATTTTTAAAATTTATCAATTTAAATTTGTAATTATATATAATTATATAAAATATATGGAGAATTTGTGCAAATAAAAAAATTAGGTAAATAAAAAAAAAAAATTTAATTAATTTAAACAAACTAACTAATAATTTTGTGTAAAAATAGAACAAAAAATTTTAAATTTCTAGTCACTCCAGCAGAGTTACTTCAAATTTTAACCAGTGGTACATCAATCAAATAAGAAAAAATGTAAAACTCAAGCTCCTAAATACAAACAGTTCAAAGTAATGATTCTTTGATATTCAGCCTAAAATATTTCATCATATCTGCTATTATGAAAAAATGTAAAATATTTCATCATATTTGCTATTATGAAAAAATATAAAATCAGCTCTCAAATACTAATAGTTCAAAATTATGATCATTTGATTTTCAGCCTAAACTTTTTTAACCACAGTGAAAACTTGGTTTACATTAAAGATACTATAATATTTCTGGATTTTGTAATGGAATATAGAGGGTAGGTTAAAAAATTGTTGGTAAAGGCTGTGATGGATTTAGGTAATTATATTACTTAAATTCTAGGATATATAATATATTCAATTATAAATATATATATGTATATATATATATATGTATATATATATATATATATATATATATATATATATATATATATATATATATATATATATATATATATATATATATATATATATATATATATATATATATATATATATTAGGGTGTCCCAAAAAACAACATTTTTGAAAACAATCTGCTCTCACCACCTAAATGTGTTCTATCTAATGCAAAAACACTAGGTTTAAATTTTTTTTGAATAAAAAATATTTTAAGGGGTCCCTCAAGACCCTCGAATATTTAATGGGTCCCTTATATTTTCGAAAAAAAAGTTTTTCAAAAATATGTCAACCTGGTACTCAAATGAAGCGAAACTATATAAAAATTTTAAAAATAATATTCATTTTGAAACAAAATTGTTATTTTTGGTTTTATTACATAAAAAAATTGCATTTTTTAAGAAAAAATGAAAAAAATGCATTTCTAATGTTTTTTTATGATAATTTTGATAAATAAGTTAAAAATATTTCGAAATGAATATTATTTTTGAAATATTTATATAATTTTGCTTCATTTGATTACCAGGTTGACATATTTTTTAAAAACACCTTTTTTTCAAAAATATTAGGGACCCATTAAATATTCGAGGGTCTTGAGGGACCCCTTAAAATATTTTTTATTCAAAAAAAATTTAAACCTAGTGTTTTTGTATTAGATAGAACACATTTAGGGGGTGAGAGCAGATTATTTTCAAAAATGTTGTTTTTTGGGACACCCTAATATATATATATATATATATATATATATATATATATATATATATATATATATATATATATATATATATATATATATATATATATATATATATTCAATTATAAATATATATATATTAATAATTTGTGAAACATTTGCTAAAAAATATATGTATGAAATGTATATATATATATATATATATATATATATATATATATATATATATATATATATATATATATATATATATATATATATATATATATATATATATATATATATATATATATATATATATATATACATATATATATATATATATATATATATATATATATATATATATATATATATATATATATATTTTAGCAAATGTTTAAAAAAACAAACTTTAACTTTTATTTTTCTCAAATAAATTTATAATTTAAATTAAATTATAAATAATATAAGTTATAATTTTAATAAAAAAAGCTTTTTAAATTTAGTTAAATTTTGGCCGAAAACATTTTATTCAAATAATAAAAAATAAAATAAAGATTTGTTAAAATTCTTTTCTATCAACATTGGCTATAACTTAAAACTTTCCAAAAAACAAAACAAAACTGAAACATAAACTAATTGACTGAATGACTTAGATTAATATTTAGAAAACAAGTTTTGTTTTTAACGATAAGCAAACTATTCTATTCAAAACACAAGGTTTTTAGAAATATTTTTTTCGAAATTAAATAAAAAATTTTTATTATAATTCATATAGTTTTTAGCAAATGCCTTTACAAACTTAAATTAACGTTTCTTATAATTAATTTGTATTTATTACACAATTTAATATTATTAATAAACTTACATAAATAAACTTATATAAATTTTATTTAATTTCGTTGAATGTTTGCTGTAAACGTTTTAAAGAAGTCTCATTCACAAATTCATTGTTCGTAGAAATTTGCACTCTAATTTCAACAGAATGACATAAGTTAACATGAAAAAATAAGTTTTTTAATTGAAGTATAACTTTAACATTTTACCTCAGTTGAAAAAACGCAATTAAAGAATAGAAATTATTTTGTTTTTAACAATAAGCAAACTTTTTTTAATTAAACAAGAATCTTTAACAAAAATTTAATATAAAATCAAGTAAGAAATTGCCCATTTCTTACTTGATTTTATATTAAAAAAATCAAGTAAGAAAATGAAAAAATCGTCAAATTTTACTCTCTTTTTCGTCAAATTTTAGCAAATGAATATTGATGTAGACATGAAAGTTATTTTAAAACAAACCTTTAATACTAAAATTAATTTAAGTAATTTTTATACCTCCGAAAGTTACGATTTTTCTCATTGTCGCATGCTAAAAAAGGTTTCATTGTGAAATATTATTTTAACCAAGAATTTATTTGCATAATCGGAATTAATTTAGCGTGAAAATAGAGCTAACATGTTCAAACTGTTGTTGGTCATACTTTATAAAATTTATATATTTTATAAAAAATAACGAAAGAACTATTGCAATTTTCATGTAACATAAATTAACAAAAACATGATAAAGTTTTGTTTTGCTTTTTTAAAATTTAGTTAAAAAACTTTAATTAAGGTATGCCCGAAAGAATATTAAATATTACATTTTTACATTTAAAGTTTTGAATAACAATGCTTAGTTAAAGCACATTTTTATTTTAAGTTTGTGTAACGTAAGTTAAAACTACATCCATTTACTAAAGTTCTGACACTTTTTCAATCACATTTACCTAAACCCACCCCTCTCCCCCTTAAACTGTGATAGCAGTTTCTTCGTCAAAAACATTTTAAAAGATTTAAATATAAATACTTTGCAGCATTTTGAAAATTCAACCTAATAAAAATAAGGCAATATGCATAAATGTAAGGAGTGTAAGTAAAAATTTCGGCAAACCAAAGATTTTCTTATTTAAACGACTCAAATAAGTATTAATAAAGTTGTAATACTAAAATAATTTTTTAAAGTTGTTATTGGTTTTGCATAAAAACTGTTTTCCATAAAATAACTTTCATAAATGTTATGAAAAATCACTCAGGAAGAGTTCCACCAGTTTTTTAAAATCCTTTGTTAATTAGTTTCAATGAATGATTTCAATACTTTTGCTATGTAACTCTAACTTAGAATAATAGATATAAAAAATCCGCGATAAATATCGCTCTGTAATGTAAGTGATGTAAGGTAAGTTATATATATAGTATTAAAAA